CAGCACTGGACCTTCCACAGACCGCATCTCCCCATGCCGTCCTGTGCTTCCAGCCCATTAACGAATGTCGGACCAAATCCGGCTTCCAGCTTCTCCCTTGGCAGGCATCTGCCTTCCGCTCCTGCTATTTACTGCCCTTGCAGTCGCTTGTCACTCTCGAGCAACGTAAATACATTCTTCAAGCAAGGCAGCATGAGATCAGCCATCAAATGCCTGAAGAAACCAAAGGGAAAACCAAAGCCAGAACATTTGTCTTTTTATTTTAATTTCTGCATCGAAGACAAAGCCTGGATAATTGGTTGCAGTGAAAATACACAGGGAAGATGGTTGTGCTCTTTTAACCATCCAGCAAAATGCATGTCAAGCCATCTTTGCCCGCCTGGGGACAATTAAAGGTGGCAGAAGCTAGGAGAGGTTCTTGGAGGAAAGAGATGGACAGGATTCTCACTGAGGTGGACGAGAGCAGTGGAGTGGGCTCAACAGCTGTTGCTTCTGTCGGCCCCATACCTCTCTGCACTGCTGCCCCTTCCTCTGGGGTTCACTCCTCTGACTCCGGGGGTGGGGGCTGCCCATCACGGTGACCAGCCCCTCCCACGGGACAAGCCAGGGCACCCCAGCCCCGTGGCAGTGTGCTGCAGGAGCGCTCTGTGCTGGGGGAAGAGCTCCCTTTTCCCATCTAGATGACAGTGTGTTATTAGCCTGGAGGCGCCAGCAGCCGGAGCCCCTGCCAGAGACAGGAAGCCAGTAGTTAGAAAGAAGCCAAAAAAATCAAGAAAAGGAGAAGAGCAGTGAAAGAAAGAGATGGCGGTGGTGACAATGACAATGCAACATCATCTGAGTCCCTGGACCCCGCCATTCCCAAGGCCAGCATCCTGTCTTTCCAGTTTCATCAAAACCAACATATTTCTTTTTGACTTAAGCCAAAAACCCGTTACTAGAAACTCCGTTCTGATGGGTTGATGATATGACGAGATAAAAATCAACGGAAAGACACTGAATGGACATCGCCACCCGTGGCTGGTGTTTCCCTATTGGATGGCTGGCCTCTGAGTCCTTGCTACTCAAGTGTGTTTCCTGGATCAGCAAGCGGCCCCGGCCTCAGCCTCACCGAGGTACTCATGAGAAGTGCAGAATCTCTGGCTGGCACCCAGATCTGTTGACGCCGAATCTGCGATTCGATACTGACCTTAAGGTGATCCACGTGTTCATTCAAGTCAAGAACATCCCCCCGCTCTATTCTGAAGGCACTGAAAGTCTCCTTCCCCACCTCCTGCAGCACACTGGCTGGGGGTTGGTGGGTGGAATCGAATGCTACATCACACCACAGAAACTGTTTTCAGAATGTAGACTCCAGGGCCTTGAGGAGCGAGGAGGCGAGGTCGGGAACAGGATGGAGGGCACGTGGTGCCCCAGGTGTGGGCACGCTTGTCCTTCTAGGCCACCTGGTGCACTGCCGCTTCTAACCAACAGCTCTCGGAAATGACAGCTCTCGCTGGCCTGCCACAATACAGGCTGGAGAGAACCAGGAGGATGTCAGTTCCCTCCTACTGATTCCTGAAAGCTCCCGGCTGGAGTGCCTCGCAGCTGGATGTACTTACAAACCACAGCAGCGACACCATCTTTGTCCCTGAGGGGTTGATCAATAAAAATCAATTTAAAAAAAAAAAGGACTTTGGTGCATCCCAGGACACGTAGCGAGTCAGGCATCCCGCAGAGTGCAGGAGGTGCACTGCCCTTGACTTTGAGGAGGGGGGAAACAAAGGTGTCCATCAATAACTCTATCACCTTCGCCCAGAACAAGCCCCCAAAGCGTTACACACTTCCTCAGTCTGGATCCTTGGAGAAAAGAGACAGAACACTGAGACTGGGTAATTTAGGGAGAGTTTACGAAAAGTTTATTGTTTACAAAGGTGTGGGCAGAGTTTGGGGAAAACAACAAGGGAGGATGTAGGGAGCTTGGCCTGAACGGGAAAGGAATAGGGCAGTTACTGGAACCCACAGAGGGCAGATGTACAGAGGAGGCTACCTGAAAGGAGATGTGACCTTCAGCAAATAAACCACGGTGACCCAGCAGGCACAGAGTCGGGGGAATAAATACCCTGACTTCATTCTCCTTCTGTCCTCTGCCCTCCTGCCACCGCCTTCCAATGACCAAACCCAATCAGACGTCAGAAGGCAAGGGGATCTGTCAATCCAGCCCATCAGAGACTGGCTCCCAACACACAGAGCAGGTGAGGTAAGGGTAGAGGGAGGAAACAGATGATCCCACACACAGATCAGTCTATTGGCTGGACCAAAGATGGCAAATATGCACCAAGCATGCCTTATGCCCTACTCCACACCTGTGACAGACATTAATAATCGATGTGCCTTTCCCTGCTAGGCTTGGACAAACTTTCAAAATATTTAACACAGAACTCTCCCTCGAATCTATTAATCTTGGAACGTGGTTGCCTAGCTAATATCCATCCCCTCATTCCTCCTTGCTCACAGAACCAAGATATTGCCCAGGCACTAACATACCCCAGCTCCCCAGGTGAGAAACTCAGTTTCCCCTGCAGCTAGGAATGGCAAATGACACAAAGGCAGCAGGCCGCTGCATAGCTAGTGCCACTCTCCTCTCTTCCTTCTGACCTTGTATGCACTGGTGATCTTTAGACTGTGTCTCTGATAGCCTCATTGAGCCCCCGAACCTGTGCCTCAGATGAAAGTTTCAAACTATTTTTTTAATCGAATTATAATTGACATACAATATCCTATTAGTGTCAGGTGTACACGATGGATGATTTGATATTTTTTACATTGCAAAATGATCACCCTGCCAGGTCTGGTTACCATCCATCACCATACAGAGGTATTGCAATGTTATCGACTATATTCCCTATGCTGTACATTACATTCCTATGACTTGCGTATTTTATAACTGTACATTTATCCTTCTTTAATCTCCTCCACCTATTTCACCTGTCTCCCCACCCCCTCCCCTCTGGCAATCACCAGTTCTATCAGTGAGTCTGCTTCTGCTTTCCTTTGTCCATTTGTTTTTTATAGACCAAATCTAAATGAAATCATATGGAATTTGTCTTTCTCTGACTTACTTCACTTAGCAGAATACTCTCTAACTCCCATCCATGTTGCCACAAATGGCAAGGTTTCATTTTTTCTGGCCAAGTAATATTCCATTATATGTATACTGTATTATACATTATATATCATATAATGTATTTTTATATATTATAAATATATATTTATATATTATTGTGACATTTATATTTAATATTTATATATTAATATATAATATTTACATATAATGTAATTATGCATTATATAAATAATGTGTAAATAAAATTATAATGTATAATATATATACACACCACATCTTCTTTATCCATTCATCTATCCATGGACACTTGGTTGCTTCCATATCATGGCTATCATAAATAATGTTGCAGTACATTATGCAGTACATAGGGGTACATATATCTTTGCAAATTATGTTTTTATTTTCTTTGGATAAATACCCAAAAGTGGAATGGCTGGATTGTGGGGTAGTTCTATTTTTAATTTTCTGATAAAACTCCATACTGTATTCCATAGTAGCTGCCCCAATTTACATTCCCACCAACAGTGGATGAAGATTTCCTTTCTAAACTTCTTGATATGAAAAGTAAATCTCTGTTTGACCCACCACCCATTGGATCTGTCTGATACTTGCCATCAAATGCACTCATAACTGACACAAACCCTGTGTGCCATACATTCTAGAGAGATGTGAATCCCTTCACTCACACATGTACTTATTTATCCCTGTGCTAACTGCCGGGTGAGAGACAAGTGAGGCATAGTCTGTCTCCTCTTCAAGGAACCTTGATCTACATTTTGAAAGATTGGTAGGAGTTTGCCAAATGGATAAATGAGAAGAAGGCACACGAAGCAGAAATGAGTGTATGCAACGTCGGAATGTTAAGTACTAAGAATCCATCTAGCAGTCTATGATGTGTAAAAAAAGAAGAAACCATCCCTTTCGAACAACCAATTCTGAAAAACAACCAATTCAATTCAAACCCGGTCGTGAAAAAAACAGAAGTGATTATCTACTTGGAAAGAACCTGAAAAACAGCCAAAGATTATGCTATTTCCTTGTATGATGGGAAATCAACAAGTGGCTTGGGATTTCCCAAAACAAATAAAATTTTATATAAAACAGATGTAAAGTGTATGGAAACCAATTTGACAATAAATTTCATATATAAATAAAAAAATAAAAATAAATAAATAAAACAGATGTAAAGTGAAACAAAATGTATTTGAAGTCTTTTACCTCAGACTCGCTTCCCACAGCTGAATTTGGGTCGCAAAACTTGGAATCAGGTCGGTACTTCCAAATGTATCCCCCAATTCCTTGCGCATGCCCTTTCTGTGGCCACACCGGTCCGCCTGCTGATTACTGAACACTCCCTGGGTCCGTACAGTTTCCCAGCTTAGAACCCCCTCCCCAGTTCTTGCCTAACCCCCTGTTCTTCCAGGCCGAGGTGAAGATCCACCAGACCCAACAAAGGTAAATCTTGGGTGACAGGAAGCTGGGTTTAAGGAAGACACATAACCCCAGGCTCTCAGAGAGCCCTGCTGTTCTGAACTCCAGGAGTTCACCATCAACAAGATCTATTCTAACCACACATGGGTTTGTTGTTCACCTTTCTCTTTGTGTGACGCTCCTGTAGTCAGGAAGTGGGCTGAACATCGTTTGCTTTTCCCTCCCAGCATCCCTTCCCCTCCCTTTCAGCCACACTCACATCCCTCCCCACTGGGGACCCCTGGGCCCTACCCCTTCCCCACACCTGCTCTTTCCCCGGGGCCAACTACAGGCTGTCAGTCTATGGGCACCAGCACACAGCAGCACCCTCCAGCCATGGGGAGTCATGTGACTCAGGCCTAGCCAATCGCAGCACTCCTCTCTGACCTCCGCGTGGGGGGAGGGGGAAGCGCCAAGGGGTACTCACGTGACTCGAGCTGAACCAATCAATGATTTTCTTGAGGCTTATAAAAATTTGAGCAGCGAGGGACAGGGGGAGAAAAAAAAAAAAAAAGAAGTGCGGGGTCATTAGAGTATTCAGATCCAGCTAACCCTAAAGTTAGGTTCACCCATGTTTCCCAGTTAGTGAGCCAATAAATCCCCGATTTGCTTAAGTTAGTTTGAGTTGCCTTACTATCATTTGGAAATGAAAGGGTTGCGAGTAAAACCCGTACTGTTACCCCACTGTCCAGCAGATGTCTGCGGAACTGACCACAACTGGAAATGCAAGGGCAGATTAGAGGACATTTAAAAATTTATTGGCAGGGCGCCTGGGTGGCGCAGTCGGTTAAGCGTCCGACTTCAGCCAGGTCACGATCTCGCGGTCCGGGAGTTCGAGCCCCGCGTCAGGCTCTGGGCTGATGGCTCAGAGCCTGGAGCCTGTTTCCGATTCTGTGTCTCCCTCTCTCTCTGCCCCTCCCCCGTTCATGCTCTGTCTCTCTCTGTCCCAAAAATAAATAAACGTTCAAAAAAAAAGAAAATTAAAAAAAAAATTATTGGCTATGATTCCATGTATATGAAATGTCTGAAATGGGCAAATCTATAAAGATAGAAAGCGGTGGGGTGTAAAGAAAGGATTAGGGGTAAGGGCTAAGAGCTGTGAGAGTTCTTTGTAGGGTAATGAAAATTTTGCAGCATTGATTGTGGTGATGGTTATACAACTCTAAATATACTAAGAGCCATTGAATTGTATGCTTCAAACAGGTGAATAGCGTGGCATGTAAATTATATCTTGGGGCACCTGGTGGCTCAGTTGTTTTAGCATCAGACTCTTGATTTCGGCTCAGGTTATGATCTCATGTGAGTCAAATCTGGAGTTGGGCTCTGTTCTGACAGCACAGAGCCTGCTTGGAATTCTCTCTCCCTCCCTCTCTGCCTCTACCCCACTCATGATCTCTCTCTCTCTCCCACATACACACACACATACGCACACACACACACACACACACACACACACACACACACACTGTTCAAGCCTGTCGTGAACCACACCCTCCAGGTTTTCTCTTGCTTGGTGCCTTTGTACCTGAACTTCCTTTTTCTTCCTTCTTGTTGCCTGAACTTCCCTTTTCTTCCTTCTTTACCTGGCAAACTCCCCATGACTCATGCAAGTCCCCAAATGAGTATCATGTCTTCCAAGAATCCTCTCCTGACCCCTTCCAGCCAAGTCCTCTGTGCTCCTAAAACCGCTTTTGCATGTCTTTATTATAATTCTATATACTGTCCCTGTGTTTGTCTGCCATGTAAGCCTATGGAGGCCTCCTTGTAGACAGAGTCCAGCCCCACGGGGACAAGGCAAGCATGCATTCAATTGTGTGTTGTAGGAATAAATCTACACTAGCAATATCCCCAGCTTAATTAGACAAGGGATGGTAGTAAGATATTTGAAAAAAAAAAAAACTTGTGGGGAAACATCCATAATGGGATAAAATGTATAAGTGTCCACAAACTTCTTCCCTTCACGCACCTGCCCAAGAGAACCTCTCTAATTGGCGGCCTAATTCTCCTTTCTCCTCTGTCTCTCTGAGAGACAAGTTTCTACATTTTTTTTTTTTTTTTTTGGTTAAGGGCCTGGAATGAGCAAAGAAGGACAGCAGCAAAGGTGTCAATGGAGGAGTAGAAGGACTTAAGGAAAAAGGTCTAATCAACCTGTGTAATAAAGAATGGAGAGAGAAAAGAGACGAAGTTCAGGGAATAGAAGTCACTAGGGCTAGTGGAAAAGAAAGAATTCTTCGAAGAGCTTCAAATAGAGTGTAGCACAAGAGGGAACAGGTCAAGAGTCAAAACAGCGTACGGGGCGTGCTGTACAGGGTTATATATCTGGAAGCCTGCCTAATGTTCTTTCAGAAAGGTGAGAAAAAAGCTAAATTCCTTTTTTGTCATGTTTTGGCTTATTTGGACTGTGCTTCTATAACTGGTTCTAGGACTGGACCATATGGGTCACAGTTTCAATAGGGTTACATGAAGTTTCAGTAAATGCAAAATGAAACTGGAAAACCAACTGAAAGCATTTCCTGCTATTAATAGGATAGAACTCATTACCCATTTCCATGGACCATACTTGTCTTCACATTTCCTCATACTGTTCTGCCTGGTGAGAATTGTGCTTCCTGGAATAGCAGAAACGTGGTTGAGCAGCAGAGGACACAATCATATGACTGTCCACGACAAGGCCACCCCAGGATTCAGGATCCTGGATCCTGACCCTTGTTTCACCACAAGGGTGTATGACCCTTGGAAAGTCATTGCTCCTCTTTAAGCCTCATTTTTCAAATGAGGGGGTTTAGACCAGATGACCATCAACTGTTCATTCCAACTTGGAGATATGATTATAGGAGCCTGGGCCAATACCCGTCTTAAAAGCCTCCAGATTCCAGCTCCCAAACCCCCTACCCTCAACTGAAAGCTTTGGGGAGATTTTTTTTAGGACAGCAGTGAGCTAAAGAAACTTTGGGGCAATAGCCCTAAAGCTTTGGAGCAAAGATTGTCAGTGAGCTCCCCAGGGAGGGAACTTTGAAGAAGCATATGTGCCCACAAACAGCATTTAATTAAAGAGCAGCAAATGGCAGCATGGAAAAGCGGAAAGCAGGCTGTTCAGGAATATTTCTCCAAATGCGGAACATATCACTCGATATCCCTTCTCAAGCCAAGCAACGTTCACAATGGCTTTGTTAGAGACACAGGATGCCTTTGAGGTCATCTAACGGGTTGCTCTGGGCAGGCAGCTGCCCTCGCCCTAGGCCTGGACACAGTCTCCTAAGCCTGGACATAGTCTCCTAAGCACGGTCTTCACCTGGTGAGACTGGGGACTAAGTTGACCTTAGAAAGACAAATTCCTCTTTAAGGGATTGCTAAATCCATGTGTGCTCCACAAGTTTCCTGTGGTGTTTCTGACTCGTGTGTGGCAGATCGTCAGCAGATTGTGTAAGAATGGCTAGGACCCCAAGAAAGAAGTACTTCCAGAACACACGAAAATTGCATAATTTTCCCCACCAGCAGAGTAAAGGCTAGACTTCAGAACGATTTCCTCAAGATCGGATTTAGGAATGTGCCCAAAGCTACAGAAACTAACGAGTGCCAGAGCTGGAATTCGAACCCAGGGTTCTCTGAGACCAAAGCGCATGCTTTTATTTATTTATTTTTATCTTAATATTTTTTAATGTTTATTTACTTGTTTTTGAGAGAGAGTGTGAACGGGGGAGGGGCAGAGAAAGAGGGAGACAGAGAACCCTAAGCAGGCTCCGCGCTGTGAGCACAGAGCCCGATGCGGGGTTCGAACCCACGAGCCATGAGATCATGACCTGAGCCGAAATCAAGAGTCAGACGCTTAATCACCTGAGCCACCCAGGTGCCCCAAAGCTCAAGCTTTTAACCACAATGCTCTAGGCCTTCCTCAAACGGTTATTATGGCTCACGCCCCATTACAGCACTGGACTGATAATGCGGAATATATGCCCCGAGGGTTCTATACTCTGAGGATTCTTCCATTAGCTCCCAGGCCAGGGGAGTGGATGGTACTCAGTGCTTGGAGTCTGCCTCCTAAACCAATTTTTCTTTCTTTTTCTTCCCATCATTTGATGGAAGTTGCGAAGAATACCCAGCATCTATCTCTGGAAGAGCTCTCACACACTGTTTTATAATTATCCACCCATGTGACTCTTCCTCCTTCATTAGCCTGTGTGATCCCTAAGGCAAGGCTCTTACCTCATTCATCTTTACATCCCAATGCCTCACACATCGACAGACACTTGATCAAGGCTCTTGATCAAGATTGTGGGAAGAAAGCAGGAAGAAAGGAAGGAAAGAAGGAAGGGAGGGAGGGCAGGAGGAGGGAAGAAAGGAATTGAGTTGAATAAGATAAAGAAAATAAGGATCTAGGACATACATTTAAGGCTTTTCTTGTATAACAACCAGGTACAATACATAGTCTTGATCGGATCCTGGTTTGAACGAACTCTAAGAGATATTTAGAGGCAAAGGGGGAAATTTGAATATGGATGGATATTAGGAAATTAGTCTTAATTCTTAGGTATGTTAATGGTGTTGGGGTTACATAAGAAAATGTCCTTATTGTTTACAGATGCACAATAAAGAGGAGAAATGTCATGAATTATATGTCATGAATTATTTATTTGTAAATAGTTAAAATACTTCAGAAAACAAAGGATGGCAAATCAACAGTTGTTGGCTCTAGGTAATGAGTATATAGATGGCTATTATTCCATTCTCTCCATTTTTCTGAACATTTGAAATTTTTATAATACAAAATTCCAACAATGCACTTTTCCCATATAACCACAGTGCAATTATCAAATTCAGGAAATTATCATTGCTGAAATACTACTCTCTTACATACAACCCGTACTCCAGTTTGGCTAACTGGCTAACACTGCCCTTTAAACCAACTTTTTGTTCCAGAATCCAATCCTGAATCACATTTTGCAGTTCCTTGTCATGCTTCTTTGCTCTCTATCAATCTGAAACCGTTTCTCAGCCTTTCTTTGTCTTTCACATTGGCATTCTGTTTCGTTGTACTTGTGCAACTGTGACCATGACTTGATTCTCAACTCCTACAGGATTCTGGCAGGAACACAACAGAAGATGTTGTGGCCTCCACAGTGGGACACATCGGGAGGTACCAGATGTCAGTCATTGATTCAACAAACATGTACAGAGCATGTCCTAGGGGCTGAGTTCTGGAGTCCCCAAATGGAATCCAACCATGGCCTCACTAGTGAGGAAGACAGGAAGTGACTTCGTCCCAACCCAGAAGGAGCTGTCACAGTGAGCAAAGCACTCCAGGGCAGAGCACAGGAAGAATGGAGAAGGAGTTGCATTTGGAACAGTCTGGAAGGCAGGTGAGGAGTTCCCCAATAGGGATGGGGAAATGGGCCTTGCCAGATGGCTTTGGAAGCAGTCAGGAGTCAATGAGCCGAAAGTTTGGAGATTATAGGATTGTCAGATTGGATATAGAGATAGATAGCAAAATAATAAAGATTTTTTAATATAAAAATGGCATCCCGCCATGTACACTGTTTTATAATCTGTTCCTTTCACTTCACAACTTACTCTACACATTTTTTCCATGTCAACAAATGCAGCTTAGTTTTAGTGGATTTAAAAAAAAAAAACTTTTGTTAATGTTTATTTATTTTCTGAGAAAGAGAGACAGAGTGCGAACAGGGGACAGGCAGAGAGAGAGGGAGACACAGAATCCTAAGCAGGCTCCAGGCTCTAAGCTGTCAGCACAGAGCCCGATGTGGGGCTAGAACTCATGAGCCATGAAATCATGATCTGAGCCAAAATCAAGAGTCGGACATTTAACTGACTGAGCCACACAGGTGCCCCAATTAGTGGATTTTTAACTGAGCTATTTTGGGGACACCTGGGGTGGCTCCGTCGGTTAAGCAGTTGACTCTTGATTTCAGCTCAGGTCATGATCTCACAGTTCTTGAGATCAAGCTCCACGTCAGGCTCTGTGTTGATAATGAAGAGCCTGCTTGGGATTTTCTCTTTCCCTCTCTCTGCCCCTCTCCCACTCATGCATGCTCACTCTCTCTCAAAATAAATAAGAACCTTAAGAAAATAGAATAAATGAGCTTTCTCCAATGCACACTATGATTTATTTAGCCAATCTCTGGCTGATGGACATGCGGGCTGTTAACAATTATTTTGCCACTACGATCTTCTACCATTCTTGTCCCATTTCTCTGATTATTTCCTTAGGATAAATGCTGGAGAGGCTTTTGGCTTCCGAGGTCAAGGCCAAACCTAAAGGATTCAAGCCCTGAGTCAGAGAGGGCAGCATTAGGCTGCTAGTTGTTTTTCCTTATCCCTCCAGCCCCAGCAAAGCTCCCTAAAAGTCTGCCTCCTGCCTGTCTGAGCGGACTGTGGACCCAGTGTGAAAGTTGGTTTAAACTAACGACTCACACCAATTATTGCTGACACAGATCATTTAAGACTCCAGGTAGGCACATCAACATTTTCTAGACATAAAAGCTCGAACCTAGATAGACTAATATCCAGTACCAAGATGCCAGAAAGGAAAAACATGGACAAAAGGGTTTAGATGCCACTCTGCCTGGAGTCAGGGAAGGAGATGGAAGCTTCACACGGTTAGCACAACTGGGGAGGAAGAACACAGACTTCGAAGCCAGGTGACTCAAATCTTGTGGTTTGGAGCAAATCACAACCTCTCTGAGCCTTGGGTTCCCTTGGGTGTAAAATGGGAAGATAATGGCTGCATCGTGGAATTTTGTGAGGACTGACCTAGCCAACAAACACGACACACCGGTTTAGTGCTGGATGGGCAGAAGCCAAAGAGGAAAGCTTACTCACCACACGTGGTTCAACTGAAGAGACTTCATTGCAGGGACCTCTTACACAGGTGCAGGCAGGGTTCAGGGGACAAGCAAGGCACTCAGAGACTAGCAACAGTGGGAAGCCATTACTTTGCTAGAGTCACAGATGTAGCTGCTGCTGGTGACATGACCAAAGAAAGAGAAAACAGAGAAGAAATTCAACATCCCCACTCTTCCTGCCCTCCAGTCTCCTGCCATTGCCTCCCATGGCCAATCCTAACCAGGAGCCAGTGACAAAGGACTCTGGGTGATGCAGACCCACTCAGGTGCACGTTTCTATGTCAAGCATCATGGCATCAGGGATGCTGACTGCCTTGAGCAGCACATACAGCAGAAAGCAGTGGTGTTGCAAGGGTGCGGTATAGCCAGGTCACCGAAGAGGTCCAGGCTTGAGGAAGGCAAGTTCAAATGGACTCAAGTGGATTCTGTCCGGGAATCCAGGTAAATGAGCCATCGATTCAGAGACATCCAAACGCAAGGTGCTGGAATTCATCTAACCCATTCCCCTTGGTTTAGAGATGGAAAAAAAAAAAAAAAAAACCCCACCCAACATGAGTAGTTTGCCTAGTATCTTCTTCTAGCTAGTTACACATCCAGGACCAGAACTGAAATATTATGACTCCAGAACCAGCTTTTTTTTTTTAACTACACACATTATTACTGCAGCCATGAATCAAAGTTGTCTTTGGCAGAGCTATCAGTGCACTTATTCCGAAAGTAGCTGAGCCATAAAAGGTTAATTATCCCTTGTAAACTGTGCCCAACAGATGCTATGAGAGACCAAAGTAACCTCATCTTTGATGGGCTCAAGCTAGTAGGAAGTACAGTCTTCAGAGCTCAAGGAATAACGACGGGCAAACTTCCTCCAAACTCAAATTCTCAGGAATTTTATAAATACTTCCACAATGCCAACACCATTCATTCAATATTCACTTGTTGAGCATTTACTTTGTGTCAAGTACTTTAATTGCTAGGGAAACAGAACTGATTACATGCTGGCCCTGCCCCAAATGGGCCCCCCTGTCTGTGCCCTCAGTTGATCCTAGGTCATTCCAGGACCTTGACCAGTCCATCCTTGGTCATAAGGACCTAGCATATTCTGGCCCAATTTACTCTTGTTAAACATAATGAGGTCGGTCTAATGGGAGAGGCAGACAAGTCAACACCAAAGTCAACATAGTCAGACATATACACAGAGAGAACTGGGAAAACAGAGCAGGGTCATCGTTTCCAAACAGGGGCGTGGTTGGCTTCCTAGAGGAGGGGACACCTGAACCGAGTTTTCTTTTTTTAATATTTCTTTATATGAGGGAGAGCGCAAGCAGGGGAGGGGCAGGGAGTAGGGGCAGAGGATCCGAAGCAGGCTCTGCGCTGACAGGCTGAAAGCAGAGAGCCCGATGTGAGGCTCAAACTCACGAACCACGAGATCATGACCTGAGCCAAAGTTGGATGCTCCACCGAGCCCCTCAGGTGTCCCTGAGTTCTGAGACCCATAAGAGTAATGCACAAACATGGCGTCTGGGTGACTCAGTCGGTTAAGTGTCCGACTTCGGCTCAGGTCATGATCTCACGGTTCCTGAGTTCGAGCCCCTCAACAGGCTCTGTGCTGATGGCTCAGAGCCTGGAGCTTGCTTCAGATTCTGTCTCCTTCGATCTCTGCCTCTCTCTCTCTCTCTCTCTCTCTCTCAAAAATAAATAAACATTTAAAAAATTATTAAGAGTAATCCACAAACAGGAGACTAAAGGAGATGGGGTTTAGTAGAATCAACCTGATAAAGGCTTAGATTTTTCTCTCATCTCATTTTCAATTGTACTTCCACCTGCCTCTCCTTAGCCGATGGGGCTTTTGCTCTCTGATAAGAAAGCAACCTTCCGTTGTCCCATAGAAATATCCGTGTGAGCTTGTTCTGCTCTCCTTATGAAAACCACCTGTCTGGAAGGCAGGTGGAAAATCACAGGAGTCACGCCTGCCTGGCCTGACAGGCGTGAGGAGAGAGGGCATCGGAGCCTGGCCAGGAGCAGGCCGAGAGGCGGGAAGAGGGTAGAGAAGTTCCTAGCAGCTCCCGGTCCTGGCTTTCCCCTGCTCGCTGTGGGGCGCAGGATTGGGGCCAGAGTCCACAAGGTCCCCAGGCGCAGCCTCTCCTCTCAGCGCAGGTTAACATTGGACAAAGGCACAGAGAGCGTTCACCCCAGAGCCTTACACGCCTCAGATTTCAGAACAGGTGACACACAGCCACTCTTGTGCTGGGAGCTTATAAACCAGCCTGCAGCTGGGCCCGGGGCCGGCTGTGTCTCTCCTGGGGCAGTGTGCCCAGTGAGTCCAAACCCCATGGCAGGACATGATCGGCCTCACTCACCCTTGAACCCATTGCCCCTCACTGCCCACCCTTCGCCTACACTCGCCTCCACCTCATGGACACTCCATTCCTCTTGCCTCCAGACCTGGGCAAACACTGTTCCCTCCACCTGACACTCTGACCCTGGCCCTGATCCATTATCTCATTAACCCCTGCTCCTCTTTCAGGTCGAAGCTAGAAATCTCTGCTTCTAGAAGTTTCCTGTGATCCCACCCCCAGGTCCCAGGGAGCTGCAATTGCCAGACTGCGTGCCCTTGTCTCCCTCAAGGGCTCCTGCAGGGCAGAGACTGAGTCCTTTCATCCCTGTACCCCCAGCATCCAGCACACCGCCAGGCCTGTGAACGTGCCAGACCCGGTGAATACATCCCTTCTCTCATGGGAGCCACTAAAGGACTGATTCCAGTCAGCAGGATGAGAAGGCCAAGGTCATTCCTCAGTTGAAGTGTCCTTGTTGGGGGTGGGGGGGGTTGATGCTCAGAGTTCTCCCTTTGCATGAAAAACCACTCCCTTCTATTTGCAAAGGACTTTCCTCTGCACCACCCTCAGGGGTAGGTTTTAATCTATCCACTTCCAGATGGGAAACCCGAGGCCCAGACAGGTTCGGTGAGTTGCCTGCGATGCACACTCGGGGGTGACAGAGGGCGGGCCAGCCCCGGGGTCTCTGACTCGGGTTCACCAGCACCTTTGCTAGCCTTCTGGCATTGCCCAGGGGAGCCAGCCAGCCTGAGTTCCAGGTGAGGAGTCGTTGCTTGGGCCCTTCCTGTGACCTGTTAACTACTCTACACGGGCCCACAGGGACTGCCTGACCTACTCCATACTGGGGTACAAACGGCTCAACTCTCCCCCAGCCAGCCCTCACGCACACACGTGTGAGCCCCACCCCATGGCTTTTAGGTCCATGGCCCTCAGGAAAACGGGGGTAGGTGGCCACAGAAAATTCATGACACGTGGTGGGAGGGTCGAAGGCACGAACGGAAGACAGTGGTATCACCCAGGGCCCATGAGCCCAGGCATCCCTAACACCGAGGAAGGACGACTCCTCCCCTCTTCCCGCCTCCCAATCCCACACAGGTGCCTTTTGTTTGTAAAAACTAACTGGGACCCAGCTGGCAAGAGAGTCTGGAAAATGTAGTTTCTCAGTCTCGGGAGTGCAGGGAAAAGATAAAAGGGCAGGTATCGAGCTGGACAGCAACAGGTAGCATCTGTACACCATCAGGGCCACTAGAATAGGGCGATGTCTCCAAAAGGCCCTTGTGAAGGGCCAGGAGCACAGGGAACGTGCTTTCTGAGTGTCCTGCACCTGTGGGCATTCTCCTTACTTTGGAGGGGGTCCTGCCTTCTACCTCCAAATAGAAGTGAAGATCTCAGCCAGCCTCCCTTGCGGCTGGGAATGGGGCATCGGCTCCACAAATCAAATTTGCCAGCAGGATCTATTGGGATGGAAGCGGTGATGTGAGGGAAGAAGCCCAGGCAGCCTCCATGTGCTGGGAGGCAGCAGCGGCTGCAAGGCCTGGTCTGTCCGGAGAAGGTGCATGAACCCCTGCTCAAATTCCTGGCCCAGCAGTGACTGTTCCCTCTAATGTTCACTGGGGGCAGTCTCTTACCAGATCGATCCTGCAGCAGCGTCCTGCGTGTCACTGCCAGGGATTCAGCCTCAAGCCGGATCCCCCAACCTTCCCAAGATCCTCTGTTTACCCATCTTTTTACACAAACATTAAAGCGAAAGTATAAGGTCTTTACAAAGCATATACAGATCAGGAGCATACAGCTCAAGAAATTTTTATAAAGTGAACCGTCACCCAGAGCAATAAGTAGGGTATTACCAGTACAAGCAGGTGCACCCCCAGGGGCCCTCTCAGAAACTGCCCCCCTCAACTCTAATGTAATCGCTCACCCGACTTCTGACAGCATAGATTCTTTGTGCCTATTCTTGAGTTTTATATAAATGGGATCATAAAGCAGATATTATTTGCATCTGGCTTCTTCCATGCAACATTGCTTCTGAGACTCCCCAACGTTGCTTTCTGTGGCAGTGCTGTGTCTGTGTTCCTAGCTGTATAGTATTCCATCAGAGGAGCAAACCACAGTTCACCCATTCGGCTGCTGATGGACTTCAGGTGGCTTCTAGTTTAAGTTTATTAAAAATAATGCTGCAATCGGGGCGCCTGGGTGGCTCAGTTGGGTAAGTGTCCGACTTTAGCTCAGGTTATGATCCCCAGTTTGGGGATTCAAGCCCCGCATCAGGTTCTGTGCTGACAGCTCAGAGCCTGGAGCCTGCTTTGGATTCTGTGTCTCCTTCTCTCTCTGCCCCTCCCTGCTCACGTGCTGTCTCTCTCTCAAAAATAAATAAACATTTTAAAAAATGCTGCTATCAACATTCTCACATGTGTCTTTTTATGTGCATTACAGTGCAAGGCAGTCATAAGAGGGGAACAGAACTGAGGCCACCTGGGATTTTTGTAAAGAAAACAAGTTATTAAAACAAAACACTGTCCCCAAATGGCTTTCAACTAAGTAGAATCATTTCTAACAGAGCCATTTAGGGTGATTCCCTGGGCCCACAGCATCCCCTGTAATCAGCACCACCTCGGGGGCATGTGGGTGGCTCAGTCGGCTAAGCGTCTAACTCTTGGTTTCGGTTCAGGTCATGATCTCACAGTTCATGAGTTCAAGCCCTGTGTCCAGCTCTGTGCTGACGGCACAGAGCCTGCTTGGGATTCTTTCTCTCCCTCTCTCTCTCTCTCTCCCTCTCTGCCCCTTCTCTGCTCGAGATCTGCACATGCACTCTCTCAAAATAAATAAATTAAATAAACACATAAACCATGAAAAAAAATCCACCAGCTTGGTGGCATCCTGGTGCT